ATTCCGGGGAAGCCGACACTACCTCCATTTTCACTTGAGGTAAGCAGTGGGGCTTCTCGGGGGTGGGAGGGAAATGGGGGCGGGGCAGACAGGACGCCTTGCGAGCGACTGGTCGAGGCCTCGCGATCGACCAGTTGCTCGCGATCGACCTGTTGGTGACCACGGGCATAGTCTATGTTTGGGGGTGGGGAGAAAAGGGCCTTCCCAATGTCTGGGCCAGTGGTCGGCCGCAGCCAGCTCCTCAGGGTCCTCCCAGCGGGAGAGTTCAGGACAGGCGCATCTACTCCCTCTGGCAGTTGGGCCCTTACTGAGCCTCTGGGCTCAGCTTTTATACTGCCAGCTCCTCCCACAGGCCTCTGACTCAAGGGGCAGCTCCTGACTCAGCCCCTGAGCTCAGAGCGGGGTCCTTCCTCCTCGGGGTCAGCGAGCGGCCACCCCTGCTCACTGCACTTCCATCCTGCAGCATCCTGCCCCCAGGCTTTTACACGCCCCAGCTCCTGAAAGCAGAGCGGGCGGGGGGAGGTGACAGGAGCCCACCGGGTTCTGAGCCGACTGCAGAAGGTGAAGAATGCCCTGGTGCGAGTAGGGTTGCCAGGTAGACCCCGCCAAAAAAACTGACACACTTGATCGTGGGCGGGGGGAGAACAGCCCCCGCCCTGCCCCACCCGGCTTTTGTGTGCGACCACAGGTGGTGCGAGTAGGGTTGCCAGGTAGACCCTGCCAAAAAAACTGACACACTTGATCGTGGGCGGGGGGAGAACAGCCCCCGCCCTGCCCCACCCGGCTTTTGTGTGCGACCACAGGGCTCCCAATGCCAATCGCGGCCTAGCCTCCCAGTCTCTCCCCCGCCCCCGCCAGGCTTCCGTCCGGTGCCCCACCAGGAATTCAGAAAATACCGGACATTGCACATTTCTGGTATTTTCTGGATTTTTCTACCAGACAGACGGTGCAAATACCGGACTATCCAGTAGAAAACCGGACACCTGGCAACCCTAGCGAGGAGATCGCTGCCTGCCGCTGGGCCACTCCCCTGTGCAGGACGACTGTGGCCCAGCACCAGCAGGAAGGGAACACGGACAGGCTCCTCTTCAGAAGGCTCCTTGCTGACGGCGTTGGTGGCCACGCAGGTCCAAGTCACCATTGTAGCGAGGCAGCGTGGGCCCCGCCTTGGCGGTGGAGCCAGGACGGCCACGCCCCACATGCGGAAAGCAGGGGGCGGGGCAGGAAGAGGAACTATAGAAGGCCGGCCCAGCAGGGAGGAAGCCGCCAGAGCTGATCTCAGCGTCTGTATCTGGAGCTGGGTGGGGCCTTGCCTGTGTGCGTTGCTGGAGGCCGTCCTGTGGGGCACATCTGCTCCGTCAGGATCTCCAGTCTGACCCCTGAGCTCCCAGGAGGAGTAGGGCAAGACCGGGGGAGGGGGAGCCAGCTCAACTCCTGGGCAGCCCAGCAAGCCCTGGCCCCTCCCCTTCTGCCCCCTGAAGCCTCAGCTCCCGCAGTGTCTGGGTGGTGCTGTCGGCCATGCTGCTCCAGGCAGCAGTGCTGCAGTTCCACCTGTCACTCATGCTCCGGGCAGGGAGGGTTGGACAGTAGCCAAGGGGTCCTGGATGGGGAGCAGGGGAGGTAGGATGGGGGTGGAAGTTGGGGGGGGAGTGGACTGGCTGGAGGCTGGGCCATGTCCAGCTGTTTCGGGATGCACAGCCTCCCCTACTTGGCCCTCCATACCATTTCCAAACCCAGTGTGGCCGTCCTGCCCACCCTGCTTCAGAATCTGGCCCAGCAGGATCAGGCAAAGGGACCAGGCTAGCGGAAACGGCAGGCTCAGCGCTATCTTCAAGCCCGTCAGGCGACATCCCGGGGGAGGGGGGGTCCTAAGCCGTCACACCCCTGGATACTGAACCCACCGGGCAGACAAAAGCCAACACACAGTATTCATCAATGACAGGGCTGCTCCAAAGGAGTCTCAACAGCAGCCGTGGGCTGCACATCCCATCTGTCCCCATTCCCCCGCACACTGGAGCCTCACAGGTGACAGACAAACGTCAGGCGACATCCCGGGGGAGGGGGGGTCCTAAGCCGTCACACCCCTGGATACTGAACCCACCGGGCAGACAAAAGCCAACACACAGTATTCATCAATGACAGGGCTGCTCCAAAGGAGTCTCAACAGCAGCCGTGGGCTGCACATCCCATCTGTCCCCATTCCCCCGCACACTGGAGCCTCACAGGTGACAGACAAAGGTGAAGGGGGCAGACAGGGGGTTCGTGGGCCACAGGAGGAACCTTAGTCGGCCGCACGTGGCCCGTGGCCTGCCCACCACTGGAATCATGTGACCCACTGAGATAAAGGGGGGGCCCACTCACTAGTCGTGGTTACCCACTGCTGCACAATAGAGAAATGCTTTTTATCCACCAACAGTGTTCTCTCTGGCTTAGGATTCTAGCCTGCTGGCTAATACAGCCTTGCAGCCGATGCCTCTCCATTACCAGGCAAATGGGTTTCTGGGACTATTCCTCGCCATGCCAGTCCCAACAGCAGGCAGGGCCATCCACTCAGTATGTATTCCGTACTCCAACACTCCCCACATTCCAGTCCCTCTCTTACAGCCCTTACCAGCCCTACCGCTCAAACGGCGGGGAGCACATGGCCGAATTTCAGAGCTGAAACACTCTTGTTTTGCACTGGGTTTGCTTTGTTATTTTAAGAAAAAGGAATACAAATTGCTAACAAGAGCTAAGACAATAGAAGCTAAAAGATGTATAGAAACGTGGCTCATAGTCATACAAAAGGCCATCGGAAACCATGCGCAGAGACTCAAAACCCCATCTACTGCCTCACACAGTTTCAATAAATAGAGAGCATGTACGTTACACATATATGGATTAATCCAGGGTGGGCAATAATTTTGGATGGAAGGCCTGCTTCAAGAACTTGGTAGGTAATCAAGGGCCGCACTCTTCCATTATATTAATGAAGCAATGCAGGGTCTGGAACGGAGGTTGGGTACGCAAGTGAGCTTGGGGTAGGAGCTGTTGTTCAGCAGAGGGTGGGGTCAGGGAGGGAATATGAGTGGAGGGGGTTGTGGCCTGGGATTGGGGTGCAGGGTGTGGGAGGGGGTATGGATACAGGAGAGGATTCTGATCCGGGAGAAGGGTGTGAACTGGGGCAGGGGTGCAGGCATTTGGGTTGTGACCTGGGTTAGATGCAGGGAGTTGAGATGCGGGAGGGGATGGGGTGCCAGGTGCAGGCTCTGGTGGGGAGGCACTTACCTCAGGCAGCACCTCTGTCTGCCACGCCCTAGCACACTGCTCAAAGAGGCCAGCTGCTGGGGCCAGGGTGTGTCTACGTGCAGCATGCACCGGGGAGGGGGGGGCTGCCTTGCTGCACACTTTCTGTGCTGCAAGCATGGCTCAGGCACCTCCCATTGACTGGTTTTGGCCAACGGGAGCTATGAGACTGTGTTGGGACGGGGGCAGCTCGTGAAGCCCCCTCTCGCCCCAGAGATGCACCCCTCCCCCCATTGCCTTACAGCCAGTAA